AAGGAGTTGTCAGTTCACCATATGCAACAAGTTATGACGAAAATAAGTCATTAAACTTTTTTCAATGATAACTATATAGATATACATGCGTCGTGGTTTCAAAGTGTATTTAAAGCAGGGTCTGGCTGCAGCTACAGTCAACTACAACACAGCTTGTGTAAAACTCATTAACCTACTTAACTGTTAAGTCCGGATGTCATTAATAACAAAGTGCATAACATCTATGTCATGATTTTATGTTGCTGATTAAATAAGACCATACGGTAATGACGTGTCTGACAGATATAGCCACGAGTTTGTGCTAAGCGTATGACGATCTGAAAGCGTATGCTGACCTGGCAGAACACAGTTCTTTGTTCTTGTAATGCTCTGCGTACACTGCAGTAGCTATCATTATTTTATTTAATTATGTACGTTGATATTTTTTAAATTAACAAATAACTAAAACACAAGAACAAAAGAGAATGCACATTGCTCTTTGATTGTTTTCGTTCAAAGTGGCAGCTGTAATGTGTGCCATGGTGTCAGACTGCCTGGCTTCATGTAGCAGGAGAGAGGGTGAGAACAGTCACGATGAGTGCTTGTGCTTGGTTCTCCAATGTTTCAGCTTTGCACTGTATGTTGGTTGTTTGAATATTGTTGTCTGTTAGCTTTAGAGCTTGTTTGGTTTCATTACTAACACACATTTCTAAAAAAAATATCTATGGTTCCTAAATTATAATATTACTGCATTGTTATTTTATTAGTTCTCACAATTTCAGTTTTATTCTTCTTTGCCCCTTTTAACTATTATTATTGTGTGTGTGTATATATATATATATATATAATTTCCCTCTTAATTCAGTAGTTTAGTTGAATGTTACTAGGTTAGTTAGCTAGAGTTCACTGACTGAAGTGTCTTGATGTGTTGTATTAAATTTTTATGTTTTGGACAGAAGTTGTTTGTATTTATTCTGTATATGTGTGTAGGACTTCCTGTTTAAGAATACCAGGGTACAAAGTCACTCCTTCATCTATTGTTCTATAATACATAATCAGACTAGTATTCATAAAACTATAACAGACAGAGACTGTGTGGATTTTATTTCCCGATCATAACATGATGTTTAACATTTTTGTGCAGTCCAGTTCAGTTTATTTATATAGTCATCTCACAACACATCAAGGCACTATGCAAAAAAATCATTTTGATCCAATCATGCCAATAAATCACAGTTATCAAAAAATAAGATCAATGCAGTATGTAACCTTTATAAAAAAACATATGTTTTTTACATGTTAAAACTGTCACTATATCATGATAGTGTGAATGAGATCGAGATGCATAGTGAAAAAAAAAAAAAAAAAAAGCTCCCCCCTTTTTCCCAGGATTGCTATTGCTACCGCTCCCTGTCAAAACGATCGTTCAGAACCAGGAGGAAGGTGTAAATGCTGTCATTCACCCTTCTTTTTTCTGCACTCACTATTCTATTCTACATCGGTTTAGTAAATATGTTACAAGTTGTTCTAGACACATTTTTTGCTGTCTCACTACACATATTTCTAGAAGAATTTATTTTCCAAATTTCTTTTATGACGAAATCAGAAGTCCCACCTTTACTGAAGCCTGATTGGCCTGACAGCACCATTCCATTGCTCTGATTGGCTTTCAATTGCACCACGCAGTTCCGCTGTTCTAGTCTGTTTGTGTTTTGACTATTTACTGTGGAGCTCTTCTCTTCTCCTATTCAGCTCTAGTTCGAGCTGAAAGAGGCTGACAGTCAGCGTTTCCCGCTTCGGTTAGTAACTGCATTGGCCTGGCAGAATAGGTAAACTAACAAGTGTGTAATAGTCCCTGGCGTTCATCGCTGAAGAGAAATTTACTAGCTAGCTATTTGGCTAGCTACAATAGCTTTTGGGGGCTACCAACAGAAGTTAATCTTACCTATTTAGGGTGATGTGTTGACAGTTGTCTTAGTTCGCCTTTTGTGTCTGATGGTTTGAGGTGGGGCGAGAGGGAGACACACTGAGGTGGGGAACACCAGGGGCTGAGAGAAGCAAACCTGTGAATGTGATGTTGGGGTAATTTCATCTCAGTAGTCTGCCTGCCTGTCGCTGATAGTGTTGTGTTACTGCTCCATTCATGTAGTCCTCACTCAGACTGGTCCTTCTACTCTAGTTTGTCTTCATTTTCTGTGACGTTCAGCCAATGAAGACAACCAGTGTTGGTGTTCGTGGTGTTTGGACCACAGCTGTCCGCCTGACCTCTGCATGTCGCTTTGTTGGTTGGTCATGTTGATAACGAACTGTTTGTTCAGCTCTGACTGACCTTCTAATAAATATGGAATCTGCTTCTTTGCAAGATGTTTACATCATCACAAACCTTTTTTGTTTGACATCTGGTTCTGGTTCTTATGCTAAGAAAATAAATCCAGCTGTTTATCAGTTTATTTTTTTTCCTAAGATAAAGGTAAAAAGTTTAGATTGTTGTGTTCTAAGTCCCTCATATTAGTCCATAGTGCAGCATTTCCTACCGCTGAAATCTACGCTGTTTGTATACTGTGTCATTCTGCTGATACTCTGCTGATACATCTTGGTCCAAAAACATTTCCTCTTCTGATGTAGAGCAGTGATTTATAACAGAATGTTCCATTTCTCAAGTCCATAGTCCATTTCGTAGTTCAGGAGACAGTTGTCCAAATCTCCTACCATGTTTGCAGTGTGATGTTGTGATGTCTCTCCTCATTTCAGTTTTTAATTTGGCTACCTTCCTGTTTCTTCATACATTCTGAGCCTAACATGTCTTTCTCCATAATAAATAAAGTTTCTGATTGAACTTTTTAACATTGAGTATTTAAACTTCTTAATTTCAAGAAATTTTGAAGAAAATCTTTCATGATCCTGATATTTTGCAGATGGAAATAATTCTAGTAATCTTAACAAACCTAAAAATGGAAATGTTCGTTATTTTTTTCCATTTATTCTTTTGCTAAAAAAAAAGCTGACTTCATGCTTATGTTCAGATCCTTATATTTGCTTTTAGTTTTCTGATCCAACTAGATATTTATGTTTTTGTATATGCTGTTGCCGTGTCCTCTCTTGAAGTAAAAAGAAGAAGCAGGAGAAGGATGGCGTCCGACTCTCCCCGCAGACCGAGCCGCTGTGCCGGGGGAGTTTTGGTCCGAGCTCAAGCTGCTACGTAAGAACAAAACCCTTTTTATCTCAGTATTCATTTAACAATCAAGATGCTGCCACTGGGATTGGATGATATATACACATAAAGTGCAATAATATAAGTGATATTGTTATGACATAATAACTAAGCAAATATATAGTATTAGTCTTTTTTTTGCTGTAGGTTCTAGCAAACATAGAACCAGATAGATTACCTAGGACAAAATTGGGTTCATTATTTTCAATTTCAGAACATGGGGTTATTGAAAACGTTGCATCTGGTTGTATCTTCTAGTCAGTAATGAAACAGTTGCAGTTTATTAATAACTTTCCCAAAACCTCTTAATCCACTTTATAACATTTTCAGCAGCAATAATCAACAATCATCCACAGCATTACTGGAATGGATGATTCCAGTAATCATCCATTCCACTAGCTATTACTGTGTATGGTGATATTGCTGGCATGATAAATATGCAATGTGTTGTGCTGCCCTACCTGCAACTCTGTGATGTTCAATCACAGGTCCACAACAAAGTAACTAAGTACAAACTATAGGAAACATTTGCTGTCTGTTAAGTTCACAGTTGCTATGTTGCCCGAATCTCAAGTCTTTAGCGTCCTCTAATAGGTGTCTTTCCTGGATTGTTCTATATAAGGCAGAAAGAAAAAGAAATGACATTATAAAAATAAATTGCATAGCTGTGGTAAGGATAGCACAATAATGCCATTGAAATTGTTTCAATTTTAATTGCAATTGAAATAATTGCAATTGAGTTGTGTTATTTAATTGCAACAACTTAAATGCATAATTAGTTGTAGATTTTTATCTAAACCAAGTGAAATTGGAACTCAATTAAACAATTATTTCATAAATAAAACCGATATATTAAAAAACAACTTGCACATCAGCAGTTATAAAAGTATTCCTGTAATTATAAATAGATGAATGAGAGAAAAAGTTGTAGGTTTAATCTACAAAAAGTCAGTATGGAGGAAATACCGTATTTTCCGCACTATAAGGTGCACGGGATTATAAGGCGTACCTTCAATGAACGGCCTATTTTAAAACTTTTTTCATATATAAGGCGCACCGCATTATAAGGCACATAGAATAGACACTACAGTAGAGGCTGGAGTTACATTATGCATCCACTAGATGGAGCTGCCCTAAAGGGAATGTCAATAAAACAGACTGACTCCGGTCGGCGAGGAGACCCTTCCGCAACTGGGCCGAGGCGTGGCCGAACGATGGTCACCCTTCTCCGTTCGCGCACAGAATGTTCGTGGAGAACGTGGTGCTAAATGACCTGCAGACGACCTGATTCTAGACGGTCGGTAGGTAGATAGGTCAGTCAAACTTTATTAATAGATTACAAACCAACATTCTGACAACTATCCCAGCATGCACCGCGTGCTTCTTCTTCTACGGGCGAAAATGAAGTCGGCTACTGCTTACTGTAGTTGCTAGACCTGTTGTGGCTCAATATTGGTCCATATATAAGGCGCACCGGATTATAAGCCGCACTGTCAGCTTTTGAGGAAATTGAAGGTTTTTAGGTGCGCCTTATAGTGCGGAAAATATGGTAAAATGTGCTTTAATTCTTGTATAGAAAAACATTCTGGTGTAGTTGAAGTAGGAGGTAGAACTATGTAAAGTGGAAATGATGTTGCTCTTGCAGCTTGCCACATTATTAATCAAAATTTGGTTAAAGGTTTGTGCCACAAAAATGGAAATTTGCTAAAAGAACTCCATTGCCAAGAATTATCAAATTACTGTTGTCTGAATCTAACAGTCTCCCAATTAGCCTACTGCATATTCTAAGTATAGAAATGGAGAAATTTGTATTTGAACAGATTAAAGCATATTTTGAACATTAGTTATCTGCATGCACAGGCCTGCAATGTTGTTTTAAAAACTCACTGGACTTAGAGAATATATTAATGAACTCCAAATGGTTGAAAACAGAGCATCTAATTTTGCACTTCTTTGTTATTAATCTGCAAGAATTAGAAAAATACATGACATATTTGGATGGTTTTTTTGTTAAAGATACATTAAGCTACCCACTTTTTTGTTTTTTAGAAATATACTTTATACTAGAAGTATATTTAAAATAAAAAAAAAAATACAGTTTAGTTGAAATTAACTTTTTCGTTCAACTAAACATGCTTCTAAAAGGAGGTAAAGTATTGATTCTATTATATCTCAGTTCATTGTTTTACTTGAGCTCTCTATTCTGGCAGGGAGCAGTCATACATGGAAAGTGTTGTCACCTTCCTGCAGGATGTGGTCCCTCAGGTAACTGTTTCTCATTTGTTGTGAAGGGGATGATTAGATGTATGTTTTCGGTACGCTGATTTCTCCAGAGAAATGTTTTCACATCTCAAAGAGTTTGGACCAAAACACCTTCAGATACATTTACAGTATAAGTCACAACACTGAGCACAACCCTCATATTTTTGTCATGCATTTATTTCTTTTTATGGTCAACACTGAAAGCATGACAGTTGGATCATTTGTACAACACTGCCTCCTCACAATAACTCAACACACAACTATTAATCCTTAAACTGCTGGCAATCAAAGTGAGGACAACCCTAATTGGAAATGACCAAGTTGTTCCCACTTAGCCATTTTCTCTCCAGGTATCTCGGCTTCCTCCCACAGTCCAAACTGGTTTCCATAAGTTCTGTAGAGAGTGAGTGTGTGTGTGTGTGTGTGTGTGTGTGTGTGTGTGCGTGTGTGTGTATGGTTGTTTGTCCTGTCTGTCTCTGTGTTGCTTTGCGATGGACTGACGACCTGTCTAGGGTGCAGTAGTGGGCGATATTGCCCACCATTGCACCCTGCATCCTGCACAATTGTGATATAATTGTGTGGTATATCACAATATATTTTAAATACCTCAATAACAATATCACAGGCGATATTCCATATTTTCTGCTGGGGGCAAGAGGTGAAAGACATAGGGGCTAGGATTTTTTTATATGTATATATCTCACAAATACAAAATAAATAAATAGAAATCTAAATTGATTTGGCTAACAAAAAACAGTCTAAAATCAGTTACCAAATGAAAATAAAAGTACTTAAATAAACAAATTAAACCAACTGTTGTGGCTTAACAGAACAATAGTTTTACACAATGTTAAAATGTTTTTCCACTGTCTTTTTTTTATTTTTATTTTTTAACTCAATTATGTTTAAAACTAAGATTTTTAAAAATATTTTTAAAATGAAACCTCCTTTTTAAAAAATGCTCACCACCAAAATATGTTGCATAAAAAACCCCTACACACAGTAGACGCTTGCACACTTCCTAATAATCTGGAACTTCATTTTCATTTCCCCCATCTGTCATGGATATCTCCAATGAGATCTGCCATCAGAAAGCCAGATTCATTGTTTCCAAAAATGTGAAATCTGCACTCCCAGAACACACTAAAATATGGAAGCATGCAGCTGTCAAAAAAGTTACTATGTGATCCTACAATGAGCAGTTCTCAGTTGTTAGATTTATCCTTCAGTTGTGTTTAAAACAGTTAAATGTGTTCCTTGTGACGCTTTGTGTTTGACTAGATTTTAGCAGTTTAGAATGAGGAACAATTTTTTGAACATACATCAAAAATGTTTTTCTGAGTTATCTCATCCTGCTTTTCCTCTGACAACTTCTCTTCTCTGATCATATGGCAAATATTACTTTAAGTTGGTGCCATTTACACCCTGTTCGTTATTTTGGGCATGCGATGGATAAGAAGGCCCCCATCTGTATTAGTTGCAAGGGGAAGGATTTTAGTTGACTTCTTTAGTTTTATCCTGAGTCTAAGGCCTCAAGAGGGAGTTTTTTTCACCTGCTCTTTCTTTCTTTCTTTAATTGTGTTGCTCTCTCATCTTTCTCTGCTACAAGTATTGCTGTTTTCCCTGAGTTGAATCATTCACACAGATTTTGGACTTTGATACTGTTTGTGTGAATTTAATCTATTTTGCTCACTGTCTTCTTGATCATTCAAACTACAGGCATATACTGGAGCGCCACCTACTGATGAGAAAGAGAAAATCATTTGGGTTCGATTTGAGAAAGCAGACATTAATGGTAAGTGATGAAAAGCAGGAAATGGTGTCTGTTTGATAAGGGACTTTAACCTTTTTGTTATTTTGTACCTGTTTTTTTTCCATCAGTCCCTGTTGAAGGAGAGAGCAGTGTGTTGGTAGTTTACATTTTGCTCACCTGTTCTTCGCTGAAGATGTTTCACTTCAAACAAACAAAAACTGTTCAGTTTAGGTCAGGCATTGGTGGAATTCTAATATATCTTAAAAGTCTTCATAATGTTGCTAATAATATTTCACGTACCATGTACAATTCAACAACAGTGACTGAATCTGTTTGAAGAAAATATAATAACATGGTTGAACACATGTGGACACCCTGAGATAAATCATTTTATCTAACACTGAGCACCTTTTGACCCAGCTTCAGTTCGTATGTAAAAAATATTTTTTATAAAAGTTATATACTGAAGCTTTAAGTGTAGATAAGACCATGTTTCAATGGGGTATTGGGTCCAGCAAGCAACACCATATATTTTTGAGGAGTCAGTGTTTTGCTGAATCGCATTACAACCAGTAACTGGAGGACTGGCAGCAGAAGCAAACGTACCTCTGCAGAGAGCAGAGGTACCTTTTTTTTGTTTTGTTTTTTTTTACCCAGAAAAGGATCATTTTAGTTTATTAGTGATATCAGAAATTGTGGAGTATGCACTATTTAGATCAATATTATACAGCCCAGAAATGGAATCAGAATCAGAATTAGAATTAGAATAACTACGAACTTGGAATCCAGAAATACTTAACAGGAACAGTCACTGCTTAACTTATATTACTTTTAACCCAGAAAATGACTTAGAACAAACTTAGAATTGTGGAGTACTCACCTTAACCCAGAAAAGGAATTAGATCAGTCACTCTTTAGCTTATTTTTATCAGAAACTGTAGAGTACTCACTATTTAGAAATGGAATTAGGTACTTAACAACCCTGAACAGGAGCACTTAGTTTACACACTTTAGAACAACATTAGATTAGATTTCTTTCCTCTTTTTTTCTTTCATTTTGTTTGTTATTTTGTTTGCATTTCCTTTTAACTCATGTAAAGCACTTTGAATTGTCTTGTTGCCTCAAATGTGCTATATAAATAAAATTACCTTACCTTACCTTACAAGGACAGACGGCAGACGACTGATGCCACGTTGTTTTTTTGGGAAGATTTCTTGAAAATAGTGTTTCTTGTCAGGTAAAATGAAGTGTCACCTTCAGTCATATGTGGTGCAAACAGTGGTGCTTCCTAATGACATTCATCTGTGACGGGTTCAGTAGGTGGTATGATAGCCAAAGTGTTTCTCTGTTTGGGCAGACACAGCTCGTAACCCAGAGTTTTTGGAGATGCACAGCGGCACCTCAGACCCGCCCCTCCTCCTCATGATTGGCTACGCTGATGGCATGCAGATCTGGAGCATATCTGTAAGTTCCACAAGTTGTGTGCTATAACCACTTTCACTTGCTTCTTTCTGTATCATTTGTCCAAAAATATTGAATTATTTTCACATATATTTATAGGGGTATGGAGGAATAAAATAACCTAACAGTGTTATGCTGTTTTTAATTTTGTATTGGTTTGTTGTGTGTTCTTGATAGAGCCACTTGAAACTGTACAAACAGGCAAGCTTCACTTTTTTCTGTTCACATCAGTGACACTTTTAGAGGGAAAAAAGATTTATAATGAAGTTTTAATGTGCAGGACTCCTCAAGTCCAGTTCAACTTTTCTTTTTGTGGATCTAAATTTTCTTTATGCTCAGTGAAAGTTTTAAGCTGTTCTAAAACAACATTTTTGTGGTGTTTGCAGGATGAAATTCCAACACAGAATCCTAACTGGGTTCAAAGGTCATTTCTAGCCCACGACCTGTTGGAACATCTCCATCATTTGTCTTTATGTTTGTCCAATAGATGGCAGTGTTGACCATGTTAAGGATTGTGCAACTACAACAGCCATTTTCTTTTTTTTTAACTTTCACCAGAGTCCACTGGTCTTTGGAAGTGAGACAATTGTTTAACTAGTAAATGTTGAAGAGGGAAATGGAAAAACATGTGAAAATGTTTGAAAATATAAGTTTGAAATTTTAATCAAAAGCAGTCAGATAAAAACATTGCAATTATGCACTGCTCAAAAAATAAAGGGAACACTCAAATAACACATCCTAGATCTGAATGAATGAAATATTCTCATTGAATACTTTGTTCTGTACAAAGTTGAATGTGCTGACAACAAAATCACACAAAAATCATCAATGGAAATCAAATTTATTAACCAATGGAGGCCTGGATTTGGAGCCACACACAAAATTAAAGTGAAATGTTCCCTTTATTTTTTTGAGCAGTATATTTCAACACTATCAAAGTAAAGGGTTCTGCTTTCTAAATCTGGATAAATACAAAGAAAAGAGCATGTTAATTAAATTCTTAATTTATTACTAACAGGTAAAAATGTAAATTTATGGAAATCGTACTGATGTTCTTTAGATTCATCAAATCAAAATTTGCATTCAGCTCTGTTGGCTGTAATCATGAATGGATGATAGAATTCTCTTCTAAATTTAAACTCATTCATAATTTAAACTGTCCATTTTAACCACATTTATCAGTGGTATTAATAATCACAGTTTTTGTAATTTTACTATAATATACAAGATAAAAATCCCTTATTTCACACAATCATTAACTGCTTTACAGAATAGTTGTATGGTGTAGAATTATCTGATCCAGATTTATTTAATCATGGTGCTGTAGATTAAACAAAGGGGTGACCTAAGGTAGTCTATATGAAAAAAAATATGTCACCTCTGTACCATGCTGCTGAATGGGAAGACTGCTTCAAGTATAATGTGGTTTGTCAGATATCAAGAATATTATAAAATTTATCAGACAGTTGTAGAAATTTTAGGAATTCTGAAACTGCTAAAATGGTTACCAAAATAAAACATCTGGATAACACCCACCACTCCTCCTCCTACTGTTTTTGTATAGTGACTAATAAAAAACTTGCTTCATGTGCTCAAGTCTAAGTAAAATTTATTTTCACCTTGTAATAAAATTGACAGTTTCCCATTGTGCATGGCTTGTATAATAATGTGTTGCATACTTATCATAAGGTTCAATAAACAGTGCTTTTCTTAAAAAGTCACCTCCTGATTTCTCATAAGTAGTTACCATCACTGAATCCAAGCCCTGAACTTTATGAGAGGCTTTAGATTCTGGAGAGTAATTCACTCATGAATACCTCTCGTCAAAATGGGAGCTTTAGAGGAATGCGGTTGAGATAAGAAGAATACATTGTTACAGTTCATAAGCTGCCCATGCATTTAAAAGGACACCTACTAGTGTAGTTTAAAGGGTGACCAACAGAGGGAGATCTATTTGTTTCAAGTGAGAGAATATTTACAGTGAAATGGTTCACTAATCTTTGAAAGTCACAAGGCTTTACTCTGTTAAAATTGAAATTCTTTGGAAAAGTGAACAAAATGAACCTACTAGACGGTTGCTGAAAAATAATATTGTTCTATTTGAAATATGTTCCATTCACGCTTCCTTTTTTAATGTGGAGGATGTTATATTTAGAAGACCATAGCAGGCAGACAAGACTGGCTTTTCTAACTCCAGCCCCAAGTCAGTCTTGGAAAATCATTAGAGGATTTTGTCAGCTCCATAACATCACAAATGACCCACAACGCTGCAGAGCTTTCTTTCACCGAGTATCGCCTTTCATGTAGAGACTGTCACTGAAACATGCAAACTTCACATACATCCTGTGAGATCTAAACACTCCAGAGTCCTTAATCAGCCTCTTTCTAAACATCCACAGGCCGCAGATAGAAGGACGCACTCTTTCTTTATCCGTGATCACACACGTTGGCCACTGTGATGTGGCAACACCCGTGCTGCTAACAGATTTTGTGCTGCTGCTATGGCGGAGCACAGTCGTACAGCTGTTTTTACCATGGGACATACACCCCAGTGAAAATATACCCCTGGTGAGGAAGCGTCCTTTGCTCTCAGACTAAGTTGACAGTTATTCTGCTTCACGTAACACATCCTGGCGTCTTTTGTTGCAATGCTCTCCTTCCTCATTGTTTTTCTTTCAGTTTTCAAAGTTTACAGGGATATCTCTGGGTTGCGTTTTTTTTTTTTTTTTGCTAGGTTTTAAGTAAGCACTGATGGTGCCTCAGTTTCCATCTCTTGAGTGACTGTGAAGTGTTTGTGACATTTGCTAAGCCAACACCCTCTGTAATGGCCCAGCACAGTGTGAATGTACATGGCTTCGCACATACTTTGATGGACTTGTGAGATGCAGACTGGCTTGTTGTGTGCTGACAGGGGTGTAGAGGTGATGCAGATTACTGTCGCCTCACGCTGCAGAGGTGTCATTAAGCACTGCCTGATAATAGGCAGACCGTCTTGGGCTAATTGTCTGTCTACATGTGTGTTGGGATGGGAAGTAAGATGTTAGTGAAAGTCAAAGCAGCAAAGATCTGTGTTTGAGAATTTCTCAACTGGATCGTCTTTGGGGGATTTTAATAATGCTGTATTACACCATGAAGAAAAACTATGGAGACACAGGCCTGCGTTAAATTTAGAAAGGGTGAAAATAAAATAAACACAACAGTTGCAGGGTATTTTGATTCTGAACTGTTTAAAGAAATGTTCAAAATAATTTAACTGGTAAAATCCTGTTTTTAGTTTTCAGTATTCCAATAAATTTAAAGAGAGGATAAACTAAAAAGTATTTATCACTTATGTTCAAGTACACAGACTAGAGTAACTAAACTAATCTCAGAAACTAAATGTAATAGATCTAGAAGAAACATGTGCATTGAATAAAATGCAGCAGTTGTAACCAGATATTAGCATGCACTATAAAAAGACACATTTTTCTTTTTACAAACTAACACTGGAACCATGAAGGTGACAGTAACCAGGTCTATAGCAACACATCCAGCTTAGATGAGATAACACACAATAACTAGTTAATCAGAATGAGATGATTTTTGAGAAAACAAAGAATTTACTTGTTTTGTTTCCACAAATAAGATTTCATGAATTACAAATTGTATTTTAAAGAATTAGCAAATAATGTAAAGTAATATAGTCCAGGTTTAGTCAGCCAGTTGTAATGTCTGGTTTAATACTTGTTTAACTGTGAGGTAGTCTTACAGGCAAAACGCTTTAGAATATTTCTCTTTTGTGTTTTTCATAAATAGAATAAATATTTTATTATATTTAAATGTGCTCCTCAGAATCTGTGGTCATATGATCCATGTGGACATTTTACATTTTAAACCAAAAATGATCAAACTCAGTGGCAAATACAAATACAATCAGAAAGCTCAATATCTTCAGAATCATTCGCCAGTTCTGGGTTTCTCATTGTCCTTATAACAGCAATTTAAAAGTGTCAGCAGTTTCTTCTGGCCAGACCTGAGAACTTTTAGTTAACTAACTTTTAGCTAGCTAACAGGACAATACAAAAACAAATTCTCCAAGTACTTCTAAATATGAGTTTCAAACATAGTTTCAGTTTTCATGTTTTGCTTCAAGAAATATTGTACTGTTTTTGATTGTTTTGCTCTCGTATACTTGTACTGCAATAAAATACACAGGTAGCACATTTTAATAAATAGACACTGCATAAGAATTCCAGGGCAACACACCATGATTCACCTATTAACATGGTCATAATGTTCTTCCATTGTTCAAAGTTACATTAAGATACTAACATTCTTCTGTTGTTCAGATATGAGGCAGCATATCCTGATTAAAACGTATATGATGTTTTAAGGCTATGTTTCTGAATATTTTAATCATTGGTCTCTGCACATTTTTGTTACAGCCATGATGCGTAATACACCCTGTAAAGTTAACATGCTGTGCTTAGTACAACTTCAGTAGTATTACATTCCAGTTATTGAGAAGTGTTGAACAAAAAATAGACAGTGGATTTAAACAGCTGATGCTAAAAAGTGGCATACTCTGTAATAATGAGTTAAAGGAAGTCAAACTAAACACACAATAAAGTCAAAATATACTTTTAAAAAAAATGTCTTTTCACACCATCAGTCATACACTACATTTTGTTCAAATATTTCATAATTATAAAACGTTATTTGTTTTAGCAGTACATTTTATTTTTTTACTTCCACTATCAAATCTTTGCTTTTTGATACTTTTACTTTCAGACTTGAAATCCTAGGACTTTTTCACACTCAAGCAAATTATTTTTTTTATCCATTTTTAAACAGTAGCAATATATTTTTTCACTGAGCATGGAAAATAAATACACATATGCTGAAGTATATTTTTAGAAAAAATGTTCTGGTGATGTCAAAGAAAATGCTATTACAAAACTCCACATGGTATGTGTAGCTGTTCTTTTTCAAGTGGAATAGTGAGTTTGTTTTCTTAATGTTCCATGTATAGCATGGAACATGATTGTTCACACCGAGCCATAACTATTTAAGACTGTAAATCTGCTAATGTGGCAGATTTACAGTTTAGTTTATCACACCGTGTTCTTAGAAACAGGATATGATTATTTTTGCAGCTTCTTTTTCTGTAAAGATACCTGCTACTCTCCCGACGCAGAAGCTTCCTCCAAACCTCCAATATGTCCGACACACAGTGTTAATGCATGCATCTAGTACTTGTGAATATGGAGCAAATATCTGTTAACAGCTCACAGCACTACATTTGAGAGATTAAAACAGAGGAGCAGACACTATGATTCCACAAAAACAACCAAACCACAAATGAAATGAATATAATGAATGGCTTTATGCTGGGAATGCAACTCTGAGAAAGCAATTTAGCATATTGCACACTCTGTGCTACTAATGTAATGCTACGAATGTTGATGGCAGAGGATGTCACACAGAGCCATGTAAGGCGAGGATGAGCTGCAGGGTAATGCACAATAACCCTGCACATTAATCTTCAGCCTTCCCCTTCTCATTTTAATCCAGCAAATTCCATTATTGTCCCTTGCAGGTCCATTTGCCTCCATAGGAATCCTATTGGACTGGCGGCTGTTGGTGCTCATATAACAAACCCATATCTCCAGTGTTAATCTTCCATCACTCGACCTCTTTGAATAAAAACACAGCTCCAAATCCATCAGTTTGGAATGGCTACTAATTGCACAAAAAGAGTGATCATCCCCTTGGATGGGTTTAAAGATTTAAAACAAACAGATTACAGCACCACTAAAGTGATAATGCATGTTTCGCTGCAATTTAGCCTATAAAAGAACAACAAAACTGGGGCATTCTGCACTTAGAACAATGTGGTATTACACATGTCAGATTCTGCAAAGATCCACACACAGCAGTGACCTAATACACTGCTATGTTATATGAGTGCAGAAAGTCTAATCTGGAGCTGTTTCACATGCAGACCTCCATTTAAGTGCTTTTTCTTTTAACCATTTATTGTATTTTTTTTTCAATTTGCTGCAAAACTGGTATTTATTCAACTTTACAATCTGCTCTGTTAATAAACTCATAAATCTTTATCTGTAGATATTTCCAAATTCTGTGTAAATATATTGCAGTTTCAAAAGAGCACATTCTTTCTTTTGCATTAATTGTCATTAAATGTCATAAAAGACTTTGCAATCAGATGAAGTTATTTTGCTGGTTCAAAGTTGGTCCAAATGGTTTTTCAATTTGACCAGCATCTTTCCAGGACGTCTCCAGCTGGCACTGAGAGCATCTCTAATCAGAACTGCGGATATAATAACAACAATAATAATGGAGGAAGTTGGGTTGCAGTCTAAGAGTGAAATTTAAATGATTTCTCTCAGAATTCAGTCAGAATCTTGTTGGCTTTATGATGGGGAAACTCAGCTTTTTAACATGTAAAGAGTTAATTACCAATCTGATTTTAATAAAGCTGGTTCAGATATAATTAACTTGGTTTGTATCACTTTTGGATGTTGCAGTTAAAAGTTTGTAATGCCAAATGATATGCAGCTTATAAGCCCAGCCTGGCTGCTCTTAATATCTTACCAGTGAAGTGAGTCAATGTTAATTGTTTGCAACATTCAGTCTTATCCGAACGTCTTCATGATCCTTTTACAATTTCTTAGTTGTCAGTTTACAACAAGAAACCTAAATAGGATTTGTGTCTACAGCATGCTGTTGAGAGTGTTGATGTAGGTTGAAGTCAGGAAAGCTTATGTTGAACCTGCTTTCACTCAGAACTGAACTTGAATGGCACCTGATACTTTAGACAACAGTTGTGTCTCATTAAGAACTGTTACCAGGTAAGTGGTGTTTTTGTGACTGAAGAAGCAGCACCTTTGCCCCACTTCATACCTTTTGACTGCTTTATTTTATGCTATATTCACACAATTGGCAAATGCAACCCATATCCAATTATTTAGTTTTTTTACCCCTATGCGATTCATATCTGGCTGCCTTATTGGCCCAATTCCAATCTTTTCACCCAACCAAAAAATTAGAATTGTGCCACTTCCATATGTGGTGCTTAATTGGATATGCATCTGATTGTTGTCATTGACGGAAGCCATTGAGAACTTTTAAATAATACCTGCCTATTGTGTAAAACGTGTTTTCTCTGTAATTGTTGAGGAGTTTTTATGTTATATTCATCTGCACCCATTCCTCTCAGTTGGCAGGAGAAGCCCAGGAGCTGTTCTCGGTGCGTCATGGACCTGTTCGAGCTGCTCGGATTCTTCCTGCTCCTCACATCAGTGAGTACAATAGGAGTCAGTTTTCAACTTTCCACAAAACATTAATGTTCTTTTCAAAATTTAGTGTGCTATATTTGTAATTGACACACTCTCACCTTGTCTGATCATTAGATCTCTAACGACACCTTACTTTTACTACCTGAAACACTTTTGTTTGGACTAAGAAAATATGTGTAACCACAGGATTTAACACAGACTAATCCTTTTACTCCTAAGATACTTAGGTGTAGGAATGAAAATAAAATAAAAAGATAACACTTTATTTGACGGGTTGTGAATAAGACGGTCATGACACTGTCATAAACGTGACATAACACCTGTCATGAACATGAGTAAGCCTTCATGAATATTTATGACTGTTGTCATAAAGTGTCATTTGGTAAATTATGACACTTTTAATACAAAGTTGACATTATTCAAAATGTCTTTGTTATGACAACTTGACATTAACCAAGAAATCATGATCTGGCATAAATTTGTTATAAAAGTATTACTGGTTACACTTTAAAAATTATGTAGCTTTATGTTGTTAAAGCTAAAGTTTAATCAGTAAACTTTACAGTGGAGAAATTTTCTTCTCCAGTGTCACTGCATGCTTGCTTGGTGTGAGGGATTGCTGTAAAGTCAACGACGCAATACAAGCGACTTGCTACGAGGTCGTCCAGGAAGAGTGAATGCTGCAAGTCAGTGATGAGATGCAATCTACTGAGTTCCTTGGATAGAAATGTTTTAATCAATTTGAATAATAAACTGAACTTGACTACATTGTTTGATAACTAGGCTCTACTGGATTAAAATTACTTTTTTGTAGGGTGTTGTGAATTGGCCCTGGATAAATAAACTAAATTCAATTAATTTTCAGTAATTTTTTTTACAAATAAACACATTATATCCAGGGGTAATATATTTTTACAATTTGGAAAAGGTGTCTTGCCCATTTGCTTGTTCAAAAGTTTCTTCTTGAACTAATAGCTGTAAATCTGTCTATCCTGTAGTGCCAACAAAGTCTTTGGTTAACTTAATTACAGCATCCAAGGTCAGCACCTAAAATTTAATTCTCAGTGGTGCATTATGTGTAGTTTTGGGTTGTGGGTATTTTAAGTGGTGCTCTATCATTGAAATTAAAGAGTGCTCCTTGCTATCTCATGCTGATGTTGAAGCTAGTTTGCGATTTCTCCTGGCCTTGTCTCAGTCAGTGGTGGAAAGCCTGCATAGTCAGTATCTTTTTCCAAAACCTATAGTTGGAAATCTGTTGACTGTTTTAAATGTTAATCTTGTCAAAAACACTCACAAGCAATGGAAAAAAGAATTAATAAACCTATATATTCTGGATAGAAGTTTTCAGTTATGGGATCTCAGATTAATAAAGTTAAAAAGGACAGATCTGCATCATCACAGTGATTTCCCAGCAGCATGTTAAACACTGACAAACTGCTTAATAAATTCACTAATCAGAACTGGAAGGAGATTCCAAGTTCCAATTTTTGAAAAACTCTATCCAGTACTTTTCCACTATGGAAGCACATTGGCACTGATTGAAATTGACGTCAAACTACTAAGCTTGGAATAGCGCTTCACGGCCATTTTAGTTTGGGACAAACAAGAGCGGTAAGAAGTGTTTTAGGGGACATGAGCAGCTGATTTGTGATCGGTTGATTTAGGTTATTAATATGTACAGTTTTATGCTCATCAATAGTTGTTTGCCAACTGCAAATAAAGTCAAGATGACAAACAGTTTTATATGACACTGATGGTGACAGTGTGAGCGGCTCACGGCAGTGTTGGTCATGATGGCACGGCAGGAGATCTAATTTATTCACAGGCTTTTATAAACTGAAGTTTAATTGGAAAAATGAACTGTAAAGCATTGATGAGTCAATGTTTTTACCTACACTGACTGCCAAGCAGAAACCTGGTGAGGTAGGCCCAGATAACTTAGTGCTAGCGGGTGCTAGCTACCTCACTGTGTGTAGCCAGAAAAAAAAAAAAAAACAACAGCTACATTTCAACCATCACTGCCTTCTTTCCACTCACCTTGAGTGGAAATGTAGAGATTTCCAACCTCCTCTTCCTACCTTGCACGCTCTTCAGATGGCTTCATTCTGCTTGTGCCTTGTTTGTTCAAACATCCCAGCAACAGTGACATTATTTATAATCAGTGCCATTGGTGAACAAAGATTGCCTTATTTATATCTTCCGTTCTCGTTGATATGATGTTTCTCCAGTGGACAGTGATGATTTACCTTAAGGCAGAATGTCTTAACTGCTTGTTGTGACATTTAGCTTTGTAATTCTGTATAGGATCTGTTCACAAAATTAAAATTTTATCCAAATACCTTCTGGTTTCAGCTTGGGGTG